CGACGATGCCTGCTGCTACTGTAAACTTGGAGTCTGCGTCTCTCTCTCTCTGTTTCTCCCCCGTGGCGAGATGTTGACTCCCTCGCCCGGTACGCGGGAGGTCGTGGGTTCGATTCCCGACCCCGACGATGCCTGCTGCTGTAAACTTGGGAGTCTGCGTCTCTCTCTCTGTCTCTGTTTCTCCCCCGTGGCGAGATGTTGACTCCCTCGCCCGGTACGCGGGAGGTCGTGGGTTCGATTCGCGACCCCGACGATACCTGCTGCTGCCGCTGTAAACTTGGAGTCTGTGTCTCTCTCTCTGTCTCTGTTTCTCCCCCGTGGCAAGATGTTGACTCCCTCGCCCGGTACGCGGGAGCTCGTGGGTTCGATTCGCGACCCCGACTATGCCTGCTGCTGCTGCCGCTGTAAACTTGGAGTCTGCGTCTCTCTCTCTCTCTGTTTCTCCCCCGTGGCGAGATGTTGACTCCCTTGCCCGGTACGCGGGAGGTCGTGGGTTCGATTCGCGACCCCTACGATGCCTGCTGCTGCCGCCGCTGTAAACTTTGAGTCTGCGTCTCTCTCTCTCTCTGTTTCTCCCCCGTGGCGAGATGTTGACTCCCTCGCCCGGTACGTGGGAGCTCGTGGGTTCGATTCGCGACCCCTACTATGCCTGCTGCTGCCGCTGTAAACTTGGAGTCTGCGTCTCTCTCTCTCTCTGTTTCTCCCCCGTGGCGAGATGTTGACTCCCTCGCCCGGTACGCGGGAGCTCGTGGGTTCGATTCGCGACCCCTACGATGCCTGCTGCTGTAAACTTGGAGTCTCTCTCTGTTTCTCCCCCGTGGCGAGATGTTGACTCCCTCGCCCGGTACGCGGGAGGTCGTGGGTTCGATTCGCGACCCCTACTATGCCTGCTGCTGCCGCCGCTGTAAACTTGGAGTCTGCGTCTCTCTCTCTCTGTTTCTCCCCCGTGGCGAGATGTTGACTCCCTCGCCCGGTACGCGGGAGGTCGTGGGTTCGATTCCCGACCCCGACTATGCCTGCTGCTGTAAACTTGGGAGTCTGCGTCTCTCTCTCTGTCTCTGTTTCTCCCCCGTGGCGAGATGTTGACTCCCTCGCCCGGTACGCGGGAGGTCGTGGGTTCGATTCGCGACCCCGACGATACCTGCTGCTGCCGCTGTAAACTTGGAGTCTGTGTCTCTCTCTCTGTCTCTGTTTCTCCCCCGTGGCAAGATGTTGACTCCCTCGCCCGGTACGCGGGAGCTCGTGGGTTCGATTCGCGACCCCGACTATGCCTGCTGCTGCTGCCGCCGCTGCTGCTGTAAACTTGGGGGTCTGCGTCTCTCTTTCCCCCTCACCCCACCCGCGCGGTGGCGATCACTGCGTAGGATTTTTCTCGGGGGACCTATCCCCTCCGCGTTTGGTCAAGAGGAGCCACGCGCGTGGGGGCGCCCTGTGTCTTTGTGTGCGCGGTCGCAGGCCTACGCCCAGCAGGGCTACGGGGCCTACACGCAGGCCCCGCCGGTGGCCGACTCGGCCTACGCCCAGGCGCAGGCCCAGCCCACGGCCGCCGCCACTTACTCGCAAGCGGCGTACGCCTCGTACGGACAGGCCCAGTCTGGTGAGGAGACGCTCACCGGCACCGCCGATACGCTCACCGGCAGCTCCGATACGCTCACCGGCAGCTCCGATACGCTCACCAGCACCGCTATGCGCTCACCAGCACCACCGCCGATACGCTCACCAGCACCACTGATACACTCACCAGCACCGCTATGCGCTCACCAGCACCACCGCTATGCGCTCACCAGCACCACCGCCGATACGCTCACCAGCACCGCCGATACGCTCACCAGCACCGCCGATACGCTCACCAGCACCGCCGATACACTCACCAGCACCTCCGATACGTTCACCAGCACTGCCGATACCCTCACCAGCACCTCCGATACGCTCACCAACACTGCTATGCGCTCACCGGCACCGCTATGCGCTCACCTGCACCTCCGATACGCTCACCAGCACCGCCGATACGCTCACCAGCACCGCCGATACACTCACCAGCACCGCCGCTATGCGCTCACCGGCAGCTCCGATACGCTCACCAGCACCGCTATGTGCTCACCAGCACCTCCGATACGCTCACCAGCACCTCCGATACGCTCACCAGCACCGCCGATACGCTCACCAGCACCGCCGATACGCTCACCAGCACCGCCGATACACTTCACCAGCACCTCCGATACACTCACCAGCACCGCCGATACGCTCGCCAGCACCACCGATACACTTCACCAGCACCTCCGATACGCTCACCAGCACCGCTATGCGCTCACCAGCACCGCCGATACGCTCGCCAGCACCGCCGATACGCTCACCAGCACCTCCGATACTCTCACCAGCACCGCCGATACACTCACCAGCACCACCGATACACTTCACCAGCACCTCCGATACACTCACCAGCACCGCCGATACGCTCACCAGCACCTCCGATACTCTCACCAGCACCGCCGATACACTCACCAGCACCACCGATACACTTCACCAGCACCTCCGATACGCTCACCAGCACCGCCGATACGCTCACCAGCACCGCCGATACACTTCACCAGCACCTCCGATACGCTCACCAGCACCGCCGATACACTTCACCAGCACCTCCGATACGCTCACCAGCACCACCGATACACTTCACCAGCACCTCCGATACGCTCACCAGCACCGCCGATACACTTCACCAGCACCTCCGATACGCTCACCAGCACCGCCGATACGCTTCACCAGCACCGCCGATACGCTCGCCAGCACCGCCAGTTCGCCTGCCCGGAGCTGCTCTTGTGAGAAGGACGATTCAGAGGGACGCTGTCTCGTTTCCCCGCCAGGGTACGGGCAGGCCGCGGCTCCGGCCTCCACGCAGGCCTACTCCCAGGCCGCCGCCGGGGCCTACGGAGCCTCGGCCTACGACGCGGCGGCCGCGGCGGCCGCCGCGGTTGGCCAGGCGTCGGGGTACGGCACTCAGGCGGGGTACGGAGCACGCGGCTACCCGGCCTACGGCCAGCCACCGCCTAGTGCCGGTAGCCTCCCCCCGGCTCCATCGTCGTCCGTGCCACGGTGAGTGGGGGGGGGTGTGGTGGGTGAGGGAGTGGGTGGGTGGGTGAGGGAGTGGGTGGGTGAGGGAGTGGGTGAGGGAGTGGGTGGTGGGGGGTGGGTGGGTGAGGGGGTGAGTGGGTGAGGGGGTGAGTGGGTGAGGGGGTGAGTGGGTGAGGGGGTGAGTGGGTGAGGGGGTGAGTGGGTGAGGGAGTGGGTGAGGGAGTGGGTGAGGGAGTGGGTGAGGGAGTGGGTGGGTGGGTAAGGGAGGGGGTGGGTGGGTGGGTGAGGGGGATGGTGAGTGAGGGGGTGGGTGAGGGAGTGGGTGGGTGGGTGAGGGGGTGGGTGAGTGGGTGGGTGAGGGAGTGGGTGAGGGAGTGGGTGGGTGGGGGGTGGGTGGGTGAGGGGGTGAGTGGGTGAGGGGGTGAGTGGGTGAGGGGGTGAGTGGGTGAGGGGGTGAGTGGGTGAGGGAGTGGGTGAGGGAGTGGGTGAGGGAGTGGGTGAGGGAGTGGGTGGGTGGGTGAGGGAGTGGGTGGGTGAGGGAGTGGGTGAGTGAGTGGGTGGGTGAGGGAGTGGGTGAGGGAGTGGGTGGGTGGGGGGTGGGTGGGTGAGGGGGTGAGTGGGTGAGGGGGTGAGTGGGTGAGGGGGTGAGTGGGTGAGGGGGTGAGTGGGTGAGGGAGTGGGTGAGGGAGTGGGTGAGGGAGTGGGTGAGGGAGTGGGTGGGTGGGTAAGGGAGGGGGGTGGGTGGGTGGGTGAGGGGGTGGGTGGGTGGGTGAGGGAGTGGGTGGGTGGGTGAGGGAGTGGGTGGGTGGGTGAGGGAGTGGGTGGGTTTGTTGAGGGAGTGGGTGGGTTTGTTGAGGGAGTGGGTGGGTTTGTTGAGGGAGTGGGTGGGTTTGTTGAGGGAGTGGGTGGGTGGGTGAGGGAGTGGGTGGGTGGGTGAGGGAGTGGGTGGGTGAGGGGGTGGGTGGATGGGTGAGGGAGTGGGTAGGTGGATGGGTGAGGGAGTGGATAGGTGGATGGGTGAGGGAGTGGGTGGGTGAGGGGGTGGGTGGGTGAGGGGGTGGGTAGGTGGGTGGGTGAGGGAGTGGGTAGTTGGATGGGTGATTGAGTGGGTAGGTGGATGGGTGAGGGAGTGTGTAGGTGGATGGGTGAGGGAGTGTGTAGGTGGATGGGTGAGGGAGTGTGTGGGTGGATGGGTGAGGGAGTGTGTGGGTGGATGGGTGAGGGAGTGGGTGGGTGGATGGGTGAGGGGGTGGGTGAGGGAGTGGGTGGATGGGTTGTGGGAGTGGGTGGATGGGTGAGGGAGTGTGTGGGTGGATGGGTGAGGGGGTGGGTGGGTGGATGGGTGAGGGAGTGTGTGGGTGGGTGGATGGGTGAGGGAGTGTGTGGGTGGATGGGTGAGGGAGTGTGTGGGTTTGCTGAGGGAGTGTGTGGGTGGATGGGTGAGGCAGTGTGTGGGTGGATGGGTGAGGCAGTGTGTGGGTTTGCTGAGGGAGTGTGTGGGTGGATGGGTGAGGGAGTGGGTAGGTGGATGGGTGAGGGAGTGTGTGGGTGGATGGGTGAGGGAGTGGATGGGTGAGGGAGTGTGTGGGTGGATGGGTGAGGGAGTGTGTGGGTGGATGGGTGAGGGAGTGTGTGGGTGGATGGGTGAGGGAGTGTGTGGGTGGATGGGTGAGGGAGTGTGTGGGTTTGCTGAGGGAGTGTGTGGGTGGCTAAGGCAGCGGACGAGTATGGAGGTGAGCAAATCGCGGGGGGTGTGGACGGACGGACGGGCGAGTGGGGTTGGTGGGCGGCCGGGCGAGTGAGTGGATGAGAGCCGGGGTTAGGCCGCGTGAAAAATCTCGCTCTCCACTCTGCCGCCTTAGGGTCCAGGATGCCTACGGTCAGCAGCAGCAGCCGCAGCAGCCGCAGCAGCAGCAGCAACAGCAGCAGCAGCAGCAACAGCAGCAGCAGCAGGTGTCTGCCTACGGGGCAATGACGTACGGGCAGCCCGGCGCCTACGGAGGCTACAGCCAAGCCGTCCCTCCCACCGGGGCGACCGCACCTCCGCCCACCGTGCCCCCAAGGTGAGCCGCGTGCACCTGGCCTGGCACGGGCGACCGCCGCGGCCCCGCAACCGGTGCGCCAACCCCCGGCTTTGCCGCTCGCGGGCCACCAGCTCCGGTGACGGGTTGATGCCGGTACCCGGGGGGGTCCTCGCTGGCGCTGGCGCTGGGGCGGGGGAGGCGGCCGGGGCCCGTGGCGCCGGCCACAACACCAGCCCCTCGCCAACGGGGCGCCTTACGAGGCTGCTCTCTTGCCTCTTGCGTGCAGCTATGTGGGCGTGGCTACGGGGATGGGAGGCGGCGCCTCCCAGGTCGCCGCGGGGTCGGTGCCCGGGAGCGGCCCCACCGCGTCCGGGACCTCGGCCTACGAGGGGTCGGCTCACCACGCACAGCCCACCGGTGAGTGCGCGGGGCGGGCAACCGTGAACCCGGCACACTACACGCACACCATACTACACATACACTACACACACACCTACACTACACACACACCATACTACACATACACTACATACACTACACACACACCATACTACACATACACTACACATACACTACACGTACACCATACTACACACACTACACATACACTACACGTACACCATACTACACATACACTACACATACACTACACATACACCTACACTACACACTACACATACACTACACACACTACACATACACCTACACTACACATACACTACACATACACCTACACTACACACACTACACATACACTACACACACACTACACATACACCTACACTACACACACTACACATACACCTACACTACACATACACATACTACACATACACCTACACACACACTACACATACACTACACATACACTACACATACACCTACACTACACATACTACACATACACCTACACTACACACACTACACATACTACACATACACATACTACACCTACTACACATACACTACACACACTACACACACACTACACATACACTACACATACACTACACACACTACACATACACTACACATACACCACCTACTACACATACACCTACACTACACATACACATACTACACATACACCTACACATACACTACACATACTACACCTACACTACACATACACCTACTACTACACCTACTACACATACACATACTACACCTACTACACATACACTACACATACACTACACATACTACACCTACTACACATACACTACACATACACTACACATACACACACTACACATACACCTACACTACACACACTACACCTACTACACATACACTACACATACACCACATACACATACACCTACTACACATACACCTACACTACACATACTACACCTACTACACATACACCTACTACACCTACTACACATACACCTACACATACACCACCTACACATACACATACACCACCTACACCTACACCACCTACACCTACTACACATACACCACCTACACATACACCTACACCACCTACACATACACCACCTACACCAACACCACCTACACCTACTACACATACACCACCTACACATACACCTACACCACCTACACATACACCACCTACACCTACACCACCTACACCTACTACACATACACCACCTACACATACACCTACACCACCTACACATACACCACCTACACCTACACCACCTACACCTACTACACATACACCACCTACACATACACCTACACCTACACCACCTACACATACACCACCTACACCACCCCCACCCCACCTACACCACCCCACCTACACCACCCCACCTACACCACCCCACCTACACCACCCCACCTACACCACCCCCACCTACACCTACACCACCCCTACCTACACCCCCCACACCTACACCTACACCACCCCCACCCCACCTACACCACCCCACCCACCCCTCACCCACCCCACCCACCCACCCACCCCACGGACACGGCCTTTATGACCCCCGCCCCTCCCCGCCCTCCAGGCCTGCAGGCCTCCTACTCGGTGTACGGAGGCTCAAGCACCACCGCCGGGGTCGGCTCCTCCTCCTCCACCGCCTCCGCCGCCTCCTCCGCCCCCCCCCTCGGGGGGAGGGGCCGCGGGGGGCTCGTCCTCGGGCGCCCCCCCTCCCTCCTCGCAGGGTCCCCCCGGGGGGCCCCCCCCTCCGTCGTCGGGGGGCTCCGGCGGGGGCTACGGGCACCCCCCCCCGTCGGGGGGCCACCACCAGCAGCAGCAGCACGGAGGCGGGGGCGGGGGATACCAGGGGGGGTCGCAGGGGGGAGGCTACGGTGGGGGGCAGGGGGGGGGCTCCTACGGTGGTGGGGGGCAGACGCCCTACTCGCAGCCCCCGCACTATGGTGAGTGGTGTGTGTGGTGAGTGGTGAGTGTGGTGAGTGGTGTGTGTGGTGTGTGGTGAGTGGTGAGTGGTGTGTGTGGTGAGTGGTGTGTGTGGTGAGTGTGGTGTGGTGAGTGTGTGTGTGGTGTGTGGTGAGTGTGTGGTGTGTGTGGTGAGTGTGGTGTGTGGTGTGTGTGGTGAGTGGTGTGTGTGGTGTGTGTGGTGAGTGGTGTGTGTGTGTGGTGTGTGGTGAGTGTGTGTGTGTGGTGTGTGGTGAGTGGTGTGTGTGGTGTGTGGTGTGTGTGTGGTGAGTGTGGTGAGTGTTGTGTGTGGTGTGTGGTGAGTGGTGTGTGTGGTGAGTGTTGTGTGTGGTGTGTGTGGTGAGTGTGGTGTGTGGTGAGTGGTGAGTGTGTGGTGAGTGTTGTGTGTGGTGTGTGTGGTGAGTGTTGTGTGTGGTGTGTGGTGAGTGGTGTGAGTGGTGAGTGGCGAGTGGTGAGGTGAGTGTGTGGTGAGTGGTGTGTGTGTGTGGTGAGTGGTGTGTGTGGTGAGTGGTGTGAGTGTGTGTGTGTGGTGAGTGGTGTGTGTGGTGTGTGGTGTGTGTGTGGTGAGTGGTGTGTGTGTGGTGAGTGGTGTGTGGTGAGTGTGTGTGTGTGTGGTGTGTGTGGTGAGTGTGTGTGTGGTGAGTGGTGTGTGGTGAGTGTGTGTGTGTGTGGTGAGTGGTGAGTGGTGTGTGGTGAGTGTGTGTGTGTGTGGTGTGTGTGGTGAGTGTGTGTGTGTGTGGTGAGTGTGTGTGTGTGTGGTGAGTGGTGAGTGGTGTGTGGTGAGTGTGTGTGTGTGTGGTGTGTGTGGTGAGTGTGTGTGTGTGTGGTGAGTGGTGAGTGGTGTGTGGTGAGTGTGTGTGTGTGGTGAGTGGTGAGTGTGGTGAGTGGTGTGTGGTGTGAGTGTGTGTGGTGAGTGGGGTGTGTGTGTGGTGAGTGGTGTGTATGTCTTCGTACGTGTGTGTGTGGTGAGTGTGTGTGTGTGGTGTGTGTGGTGAGTGTGTGTGTGGTGAGTGGTGTGTGAGTGGTGTGTGAGTGGTGTGTGTGGCGAGTGGTGTGTGTGGCGAGTGGTGTGTGTGGTGAGTGGTGTGTGTGGTGAGTGGCGAGTGGTGTGTGTGGCGAGTGGTGTGTGTGGCGAGTGGTGTGTGTGGTGAGTGGTGTGTGTGGTGAGTGGTGTGTGTGAGTGGTGTGTGTGCGTGGTGAGTGGTGTGTGGTGAGTGGTGTGTGTGGTGAGTGGTGTGTGTGGTGAGTGGTGTGTGTGGTGAGTGGTGTGTGTGGTGAGTGGTGTGTGTGGTGAGTGGTGTGTGTGGTGAGTGGTGTGTGTGGTGAGTGGTGAGTGGTGTGTGGTGAGTGGTGTGTGTGAGTGGTGAGTGGTGTGTGTGAGTGGTGAGTGGTGTGTGTGAGTGGTGAGTGGTGTGTGTGGTGTGTGTGTGGTGAGTGGTGTGTGTGGTGAGTGGTGTGTGTGGTGAGTGGTGTGTGTGGTGAGTGGTGTGTGTGGTGAGTGGTGTGTGTGGTGAGTGGTGTGTGGTGGTGAGTGGTGTGTGTGGTGAGTGGTGTGAGTGGTGAGTGGTGTGAGTGGTGAGTGGTGTGTGTGGTGAGTGGTGTGTGTGTGTGGTGAGTGGTGTGTGTGTGTGGTGTGAGTGGTGTGTGTGTGAGTGGTGTATGTGTGTGTGAGTGATGTGGGTGTGGTGAGTGGTGTGTGTGTGTGGTGAGTGGTGTGTGTGTGTGGTGAGTGGTGTGTGTGGTGAGTGGTGTGTGTGGTGAGTGGTGTGTGTGAGTGGTGTGTGTGTGTGGTGAGTGGTGTGTGTGGTGAGTGGTGTGTGTGTGTGGTGAGTGGTGTGTGTGTGGTGAGGGTGTGTGTGGTGAGTGGTGAGTGGTGTGTGTGGTGAGTGGTGTGTGTGTGTGGTGAGTGGTGTGTGTGAGTGGTGTGTGTGGTGAGTGGTGTGTGTGAGTGGTGTGTGTGGTGAGTGGTGTGTGTGGTGTGTGTGGTGAGTGGTGTGTGGCGAGTGGTGTGTGTGGCGAATGGTGTGTGTGGCGAGTGGTGTGTGTGGTGAGTGGTGTGTGTGGTGAGTGGTGAGTGGTGTGTGTGCGTGGTGAGTGGTGTGTGGTGTGTGTGGTGAGTGGTGTGTGTGGTGAGTGGTGTGTGTGGTGAGTGGTGAGTGGTGTGTGTGGTGAGTGGTGTGTGTGGTGAGTGGTGTGTGTGTGTGGTGTGTGTGGTGAGTGGCGTGAGTGGTGTGTGTGTGGTGAGTGGTGTGTGTGTGAGTGGTGTGTGTGTGGTGAGTGGTGTGTGTGTGGTGAGTGGTGTGTGTGTGGTGAGTGGTGTGTGTGTGGTGAGTGGTGTGTGTGTGGTGAGTGGTGTGTGTGTGGTGAGTGGTGTGTGTGTGGTGAGTGGTGTGTGTGTGGTGAGTGGTGTGTGTGTGGTGAGTGGTGTGTGTGTGTGTGTGGTGTGTGTGTGGTGTGTGGTGAGTGGTGTGTATGTGGTGAGTGGTGTGTGTGTGGTGAGTGGTGTGTGAGTGGTGTGTGTGTGGTGTGTGGTGAGTGGTGTGTATGTCTTTGTACGTGAGTGTGTGTGTGCGCGTGTTTGGAGCGGTGGTGTAGTAGCGGTCAGCGTGCTGCGCGTGGAACCCGGCGACCCGAGTTTGATTTCCGCTCATGGCCATCACCAGCAGGCATTGTCAGGTTGTGATCGAACCCACGACCTCCTGTATACCAGGCGATGGAGTTAACATCTCCCAGGCCACCGTGGTGATGATTAGAGAGAGACTCCGACTCCAAATATACAGCAGCAGGCACCGTCAGGGTCCGTGATCGAACCCACCACCTCCTGCATACCGGTCGAGGTAGTTAACATCTTACCCACCGTGGTGATGATTAGAGTGAGAGACTCAGACTCCAATTATACAGCAGCAGCAGGCTCCGTCAGGATCCGTGATCGAACCCACGACCTCCTGTATACCAGGCGAGGGAGTTAACATCTCCCGGGCCACCGTGGTGATGATAGGGAGAGACTCAGACTCCAATTATACAGCAGCTGCAGGCACCGTCAGGGTCCGTGATTTAATCCACGACCTCCTGTATACCAGGCGAGGTAGTTAACATCTCCCAGGCCACCGTGATGATGATGAGAGAGAGAGACACAGACTCCGAATTTACAGCAGCAGCAGCAGGCTCCGTCAGGGTCTGTGATCGAACCCACGACTTCCTGTATACCAGGCGAGGTAGTTAACATCTCCCAGGGCCACCGTGATGATGATTAGAGGGAGAGACTCGGACTCCAAATATACAGCAGCAGCAGCAGGCACCGTCAGGGTCCGTGATTTAATCCACGACCTCCTGTATACCAGGCGAGGTAGTTAACATCTCCTTAGCCACCGTGATGATGATTAGAGGGAGAGACTCAGACTCCAAATATACAGCAGCTGCAGGCGCCATCAGGGTCCGTGATCGAACTCACGACCTCCTGTATACCAGGCGAGGTAGTTAACATCTCCTTAGCCACCGTGATGATGATTAGAGGGAGAGACTCAGACTCCAAATATACAGCAGCTGCAGGCACCGTCAGGGTCCGTGATTTAATCCACGACCTCCTGCGTACCGGTCGAGGGAGTTAACATCTGATGATAGAGAGAGACTCAGACTCCAAATATACAGCAGCAGCAGCAGGCTCCGTCAGGGTCTGTGATCGAACCCACGACCTCCTGTATACCAGGCGAGGGAGTTAACATCTCCCAGGCCACTGTGATGATGATTAGAGGGAGAGACTCGGACTCCAAATATACAGCAGCAGCAGCAGGCTCCGTCAGGGTCTGTGATCGAACCCACGACCTCCTGTATACCAGGCGAGGTAGTTAACATCTTACCCACCGTGATGATGATTAGAGAGAGAGACTCAGACTCCAAATATACAGCAGCAGCAGGCACTGTCAGGGTCTGTGATCGAACCCACGACCCCCTGTATACCAGGCGAGGTAGTTAACATCTCCTTAGCCACCGTGATGATGATTAGAGGGAGAGACTCAGACTCCGAATTTACAGCAGCAGGCTCCGTCAGGGTCTGTGATCGAACCCACGACCTCCCGCGTACCGGTCGAGGGAGTTAACATCTCCTTAGCCACCGTGATGATGATGATTAGAGGGAGAGACTCGGACTCCAAAATTAGCAGCAGCAGCAGGGTCCGTGATCGAACCCACGACCTCCCGCGTACCGGTCGAGGTAGTTAACATCTCCCAGGGCCGCCGCTACTCTTCCAACAGCACCGTGCCTCCCCGCTCCACCCCCCTTACAGGATTGCTGAAGGCCCACTGGCGCTGTCTCTGTGCTCCCCCCAGGTGGAGGTGGCTTTGACCGCTACGGCCAGGAGGGCTCTGGGGGAGGGGGCGCCGGTGGGGGCTGCCCCCCGTTCCGGGGAGGCCGCGGGGGGTTTGACCCCCGCGGGGGGAGGGGCGGGGGCTCGATGTTTGACCCCCGGGGTGGCCGGGGAGGAGGGGGCATGGGTCGTGGGGGCGGACGCGGGGGCATGGGGTGAGTACGCACGCGCCGGGCGCACACACGCACGCAGACGTACACACACACACACACACGTGTAGACGTACACACACACGTGTAGACGTACACACACACACACGTACACACACACACACGTGAAGACGTACACACACACACACACACGTACACACACATACACGCGTGAAGACGTACACAACACACACACACACGTACACACACACACACGCGTGTAGACGTACACACACAGACGTGTAGACGTACACACACGCAGACGTACACACACACAGACGTACACACACACACGTGTAGACGTACACACACACACGCACAGACGTACACACACACACACACACAGACGTACACACACACACACACACGTGCAGACGTACACACACACAGACGTACACACACACACACGTGTAGACGTACACACACACGCACGCAGACGTACACACACACACAGACGTACACACACACACACACGTGTAGACGTACACACCACACACACGCACGCAGACGTACACACACACAGACGTACACACAGACGTACACACACACAGACGTACACACACAGACGTACACACACACAGACGTACACACACAGACGTACACACACAGACGTACACACACGCACGTAGACGTACACACACACGTGCAGACGTACACACACACACACACGCACGCAGACGTACACACACACACACGTGTAGACGTACACACACACGCAGACGTACACACACACGCACACAGACGTACACACGCACGCAGACGTACACACACACGTGTAGACGTACACACACACACACACGTATACAGACGTGTACACACGTACACACACACGCGTACACACACACGTGTACACACGTACACACACACGTATACACACGTGTACACACGTACACAGACGTGTACACACACACACACACGTACACAAAGGTAAAGATATCCCGTATAGCCTGACCAGACTGCAGGGGAAAGTGCTGTTAGCGAGCGCCTAATGAACGGCCAGCACCGTGCCCGGCCGCCTTTGTCTCTCCCCCCAGTTGCTAGCGATGTTTACTGCGCCCACTGCCGCTACGCCGGGTACTCTTTTGAGGCCGAGTCGACCTAGGGGAGGCCCAGGACCGGTTCAGGCAATCGCTGTTGGTGGCCGTGGGTGGGACTCGTAACCCGGGTTCGTCACACAAGCGTAGCGCTCACCGCTGCACCCACCGCTCCCCACACGGGCACGCCAATACCACGAAGTGGCGGTGACGTCACCCACGGCGCCTGTGCCAGGCTAGGTGCACTTTGAGCCACGTGAAGTGTCAAAAGACTCAACGATGGCAGGTTACGGGTGCCAGGCTAGGTGCAGGAGGAGGAGGTCACGGGACAGACCCCGCAGGGTCCATGGGGTTGTACTGCTGTGCCAGGCTAGGTGCATGAGGATGAGGTCACGGGACAGACCTGCAGGTGTCATGGGGTTGTACTGCTGTGCCAGGCTAGGTGCATGAGGAGGAGGTCACGTGACACACCCTGCAGGTGTCATGGGGTTGTACTGCTGTGCCAGGCTAGGTGCATGAGGAGGAGGTCACGTGACACACCCTGCAGGTGTCATGGGGTTGTACTGCTGTGCCAGGCTAGGTGCAGGAGGAGGAGGTCACGGTACAGACTGTGCAGGTGCCATCGGTTGTACTGCTGTGCCAGGCTAGGTGCATGAGGAGGAGGTGACGGGACAGACCCTGCAGGTGCCATGGGGTTGTACTGCTGTGGCCAGGCTAGGTGCATGAGGAGGAGGTGACGGGACAGACCCTGCAGGTGTCATGGGGTTGTACTGCTGTGCCAGGCTAGGTGCATGAGGAGGAGTTCACGGTACAGACCGTCCAGGTGCCATCGGTTGTACCGCTGTGCCAGGCTAGGTGCATGAGGAGGAGGTCACGGGGGGACAGCTGCTCATTTGAATCGGACCTAGTAGGGGGAGGTCCCAGGACCGGTTCAGATAATCGCTGGACCGCTGCACGACCGCCCTCCACGCTAACACGCCCGCACGCGCGTGCTCGTTACACGCACGTGCATACGCAGACGTACACACCCACGGTACGTGCACACGCATGCACATGTGACGGGCACACGGCGCGAGTGATGAGGGCATTGTCAAGAAATAAAACCGGGTGGCCCAAAGGGCATTTGGCAGGAATGTTTTGGTTTCAAGAGGTGGCAGGGTGGGGGTGATATGAGGGCATTGGCAAGAAAATAAAAACCCTGGCCCAAAGGGCATTTGACGGGAATGTTTTTGGCGTCAAGAGGTGGCAGGGTGGGGGTGATGAGGGCATTGCCAAGAAAATAAAACCGTGGCCCAAAGGGCATTTGGCGGGAATGTTTTGGTGTCTAGAGGTGGCCGGGTGGGGGTGATGAGGGCATTGGCAAGAAAATAAAACCCTGGCGCAAAGGGCATTTGGCAGGAATGTTTTGGTTTCAAGAGGTGCCAGGTGGGGTGATGAGGGCATTGTCAAGAAAATAAAACCGTGGGCCCAAAGGGCATTTGGCGGGAATGTTTTGATGTCGAGATGTGGGAGGGTGAGGTGATGAGGGCATTGCCAAGAAAATAAAACCGTGGCCCAAAGGGCATTTGACGGGAATGTTTTGGTTTCAAGAGGTGGCAGGGTGGGGGTGATGAGGGCATTGTCAAGAAAATAAACCCTGGCCCAAAGGGCATTTGACGGGAATGTTTTGGTGTCAAGAGGTAGCCGGGTGGGGTGATGAGGGCATTGTCAAGAAAATAAACCCTGGCGCAAAGGGCATTTGGCGGGAATGTTTTGGTGTTAAGCGGTGGGAGGGTGGGGGTGATGAGGGCATTGGCAAGAAAATAAAACCCTGGCCCAAAGGGCATTTGACGGGAATGTTTTGGCGTCAGGAGTTGGCAGGGTGGGGGTGATGAGGGCATTGTCAAGAAAATAAAACCCTGGCGCAAAGGGCATTTGACGGGAAATGTTTTGGCGTCAAGAGGTGGCAGGGTGGGGGTGATGAGGGCATTGCCAAGAAAATAAAACCCTGGCGCAAAGGGCATTTGACGGGAATGTTTTTGGCGTCTAGAGGTGGCAGGTGGGGGTGATGAGGGCATTGTCAAGAAAATAAAAACCCTGGCGCAAAGGGCATTTGGCGGGAATGTTTTGGTGTCTAAAGGTGGCAGGGTGGGGGTGATGAGGGCATTGTCAAGAAAATAAAACCCTGGCGCAAAGGGCATTTGACGGGAATGTTTTGGTGTCTAGAGGTGGGAGGGTGAGGGGAGGGCATTGTCAAGAAAATAAAACCGTGGCCCAAAGGGCATTTGGCGGGAATGTTTTGGTGTTGAGATGTGGGAGGGTGGGGGTGAGGAGGGCATTGCCAAGAAAATAAAACCCTGGCCCAAAGGGCATTTGACGGGAATGTTTTGGTGTCTAGAGGTGGCAGGGTGGGGTGAGGGGGGAGGGCATTCCGCGATGGTTGGTGCACGGTGGGTGTCGTCCATGCTGGGCGTTTATCGGTCTCAAAGGGGGCGAATCATCCGAGGTGCGGAAGCTGTCAAAAGGGGCATTGTGGGCATTGGTGTGAAGGGCAGTAAATGCCCTGCGTCACCGCGTACCTCTTGAAGGGCATTCACCCCTAGGGCATTGCTCTAAGGTGTCGTTGAGACTTGAGGGCCATGGACAGGAGGTTAACATTTAACTTCCAAAAGGGCATTGTGGGGCATTGATGTGAGGGTCATTGAGCAGTAGATGCCCCGCGTCACCTCCTACTTCCCGAGGGGCATTTACCCACAGGGCATTGCTCTAAGGTGTCCTTGAGACTGAGGGCCATGGACAGGAGGTTAAACTGGAACTGCCCAAAGGGCATCGCGTCTATGATGGTTTTAGTTGCGAGGGCAATTCTGAAGGTTGGGTTGAGGGGGGCGGGGGGGTGCGGGGGGGGGGGGGGCCCGGCTTCATCATCCGGGGGTTGCGTACTCTACGAAGGGCATTTGATGAGAGTGCCTGCTCCGGACGTAGGGCATTTTGCCGCGCCAATAATACGTGGAGGGTGCACGCGGCATATGTCCAGCGGGTGGAGCTTTCGAAAGAGAGGGGCGGATTCCAAAGGGGGGGGGGTGTGGGGGGGGGCATTGTTGGTGTTGAGGAAATGGGCATTGGGATTGAACAATCCGAGGGGGATGAGAGATGAGAGAGAATGTTATCTCCAAAGGGCATTTGGATTGAACGAAATGCCAGAGAGAGAGAGAGAAATCATATTTTAAAAGGGCATTGCTGAAAGAAACACATTTCTAGTGAAAGCAGGATAGGAGAGGGGGGGCATTGGGTTGAGGTGGGGGGTCTGTGTGCTCGTGACGAATGCGAAGGGCATTGTGATGTTGAGACGAACGGCATTTGGATTGAACTAAATCCGAGATAATTTCATCTCCAAAGGGCTTTGCGGAAATTGTTTTTTTTCTAGTGTGAGGAGGGAGGGGGTGGTGGTATGGGTCTCTCCCTCTGTGCTCGGGACGAATTAAAAGGGCGTTGTTGTGTTTTGGCAGAGGTAATTCGGATTGAACCATCTGAGAATCTTCAAAGGGCATTGCTGGAAATGTTTTTTTTCCTAGTGAAAAGAGAGGGCATTAGGTTGAGGAGGGGGTGGTGAGTGAGGGTCTGTGTCTCGCTCTGTGGCGTGCGCGCGGCGAATTAAAAGGACGTTGTGTTATGGCAGAGGGAATTCGGATTGAACAATGTGAGAATCTTCAAAGGGCATTGCTGGAAAATTGTTTTTTTTCCTCGTGAAAAGAGAGAGGGCATTAGGTTGAGGGGGTGGTGAGTGAGGGTCTGTGTCTCGCTCTGTGCTCGGGACGAATTAAAAGGGCATTGTTGTGTTTTGGCAGAGGGAATTCGGATTGAACAATGTGAGAATCTTCAAAGGGCATTGCTGGAAATGGGTTTTTTCTAGTGAAAAAAGAGGGGGCATTAGGTTAAGGAGGGGGTGGTGAGGGTCTGTGTCTCACTCTGTGCTCGGGACGAATTAAAAGGGCATTGTTGTGTTATGGCAGAGGGCATTCGGATTGAACCATCTGAGAATCTTCAAAGGGCATTGCTGGAAATGGGTTTTGTCCTAGTGAAAAGAGAGGGCATTAGGTTGAGGAGGGGGTGGTGAGTGAGGGTCTGTGTCTCGCTCTGTGGCGTGCGCGCGGCGAATTAAAAGGGCGTTGTGTTTTGGCAGAGATAATTCGGATTGAACAATCTGAGAATCTTCAAAGGGCATTGCTGGAAATGTTTTTTTCCCTAGTGAAAAGAGAGGGCATTAGGTTAAGGAGGGGGTGGTGAAGGTCTGTGTCTCGCTCTGTGCTCGGGACGAATTAAAAGGGCATTGTTGTGTTATGGCAGAGGGCATTCGGATTGAACAATCTGAGAATCTTCAAAGGGCATTGCTGGAAATGTTTTTTTCCCTAGTGAAAAGAGAGGGGGCATTAGGTTAAGGAGGGGGTGGTGAGGGTCTGTGTCTCGCTCTGTGGCGTGCGCGCGGCGAATTAAAAGGGCGTTGTTGTGTTATGGCAGAGGGAAATCGGATTGAACAATCTGAGAATCTTCAAAGGGCATTGCTGGAAATGGGTTTTTTCCTCGTGAAAAGAGAGGGGGCATTAGGTTGAAGAGGGGGTGGTGAGTGAGGGTCTGTGTCTCACTCTGTGGCGTGCGCGCGGCGAATTACAAGGGCATTGTTGTGTTATGGCAGAGGGAATTCGGATTGAACAATCTGAGAATCTTCAAAGGGCATTGCTGGAAATGTTTTTTAGTGTAAGGAGGAGGAGGGGGCATTGGGTTGAGGGAGGGGGTGGTGGTATGGGTTTCTGTATCTCGCTGGGCTCCGGACGAACGAAAAGGGAATTTTGGTGTTGAGGCAAAGGGCATTCGGATTGAAATAATTGAGAGAATTGTATCTCCAAAGGGCATTACTGGAGATATGTTTTAGTGTAAGGAGAGGGGGGCATTGCGTTGATGAGGGGGTGTTTGAGGGTCTCTCTGTGCTTGGGACGAATGAAAAGGGCATTGTGGTGTTGAGACAAATGGCTTTCGGATTGAACTAAATCGCCGTTGGTGCGAAGGGCCTTGACGCCAAGAAGGGACATTGTGAAAGGGCATTGCACCAAGCCGGGTGGCCATGCCGAGGACGTTTGGCCTTTCGAAAGGGGATGAGTTGGGCATTCTTATCGCAAGGGGCATTGCTGAATGACATTGAGCCCAAAGGGTTGGGTGGAGGGGGGGAGGGCTTTCTGAAATTGTTTGTGGGGATTGAAATGAATACAAATCAAGGGGGCATGGTCAATGGATATTGATGCAAATGGCATTCTAAATGGTTCAGAAACCCAAGAGGGCATTTATTAAAGTGTATCTGCAAAGGGCATTGAAATGGAATCTATCGAAAGGGCATGGTCAATGGATATTGATGAAAACGGCATTCTAAATGGTACAGAAATTGAAGAGGGCATTGATTAAAGTGTATCTACAAAGGGCATTGAAATGGAATCTATCCAAAGGGCATGGTCAATGGATATTGATGCAGATGGCATTCTAAATGGTACAGAAATTGAAGAGGGCATTGATTAAAGTGTATCTACAAAGGGCATTGAAATGGAATCTATCCAAAGGGCATGGTCAATGGATATTGATGAAAACGGCATTCTAAATGGTACAGAAATTGAAGAGGGCATTGATTAAAGTGTATCTACAAAGGGCATTGAAATGGAATCTATCCAAAGGACATGGTGAACGGATATTGATTCACAGGGCATTCTTAATTGTACAGAGCCCTCAGAGGGCATTGTTTGAACTGTAGCTACAAAGGGACATTGGAATGGTCTCAAACCAAAGGGCATGGTCAATGGATATTGATGCAGACGGCATTCTAAATGGTACAGAAACCCAAGAGGGCATTGATTAAAATGTTTCTACAAAGGGCATTGAAATGGAATCTATCCAAAGGGCATGGTCAATGGATATTGATGAAAACGGCATTCTAAATGGTACAGAAATCCAAGAGGGCATTGATTAAAATGTTTCTACAAAGGGCATTGAAATGGAATCTATCCAAAGGGCATGGTCAATGGATATTGATGCAGATGGCATTCTAAATGGTACAGAAATTGAAGAGGGCATTGATTAAAGTGTATCTACAAAGGGCATTGAAATGGAATCTATCCAAAGGGCATGGTCAATGGATATTGATGCAGATGGCATTCTAAATGGTACAGAAATTGAAGAGGGCATTGATTAAAGTGTATCTACAAAGGGCATTGAAATGGAATCTATCCAAAGGGCATGGTCAATGGCTATTGATGAAAACGGCATTCTAAATGGTACAGAAATTCAAGAGGGCATTGATTAAAGTGTATCTACAAAGGGCATTGAAATGGTATCAAACCAAATGACATGACGAACGGATATTGATTCAAAGGGCATTCTTAATTGTACAAAGCCCTCAGGGCATTGTTTGAAATGTAGCTACAAAGGGCATTGAAATGGTATCAAACCAAAGGACATGGCGAATGGATATTGATTCAAAGGGCATTCTTAATTGTACAGAGCCCTCAGAGGGCATTGTTTTAAATGTAGCTACAAAGGGACATGGTCAATGGATATTGATGCAGACGGCATTCAAAATGGTTCAGAAACCCAAGAGGGCATTGATTAAAATGTATCTACAAAGGGCATTGAAATTGTATGAAACCAAAGGGCATGGTCAATGGATATTGATGCAGACAGCACTCAATGGTACAGAAACCCTAGAGGGCATTGATTTGATGGCAGTGAATGTAGCTACAAATGGCATTGAAATGGCTTTTCAAATCAAAGGGCATTGCCATCGAAGGGCATTTAGAAGGCAATGTAATAATCCGCTCTGTGGTTTGCCTGTTGTGTGTTGTAACCCCACCGATGTTGATCTTCTTTCATACAGGCCCCCGAAAGGATTGATCTCTCTCTCTCTGCCTCTCTCTCTCTGCCTCTGTCTCAGCCTCTAGCGGCACAATTCCCTTAAATTTTAGACGGTAACATTAATGTCATTGTAGTGTGGGGGGGTGGAGGGGGCAGGATAGGGCAGGGATAATTGTGGTGGCGGCAGTCTGGGTGTCTCTGAGTGTGTGTGTGTCTCTGTGCGAGTCTGTGGGTCTTGATGGGTCTGTGTGAGTCTGGGTGTGTGTGTCTCTTGTCTCTGTGCGAGTACTGTGGATCTTTATGGGTGTCTGTGTGAGTGGGTGTCTCTGAGTGTGTGTGTGTGTCTCTGTCTCTGTGCGAGTCTGTGGGTCTATATGGGTGTCTGTGTGAGTCTGGGTGTCTCTGAGTCGTGTGTGTGTCTCTGTGTGAGTCTGTGGGTCAATATTGGTGTCTGTGTGAGTCTGAGTGTCTGTGCGAGTCGTGTGTGTCTCTGCGAGTCTGTGGGTCTATATGGGTGTCTGTTGAGTCTGCGTGTCTCTGTGTGAGTCTGGGTGTCTTTGTGAGCCTTTCTGTGGGTCTATATGGGTGTCTGTTGAGTCTGCGTGTCTCTGTGTTAGTCTGGGTGTCTTTGTGAGCCTTTCTGTGGGTCTGTGTAGGTCTGTATGGGTGTTTGTGAATCTGTGGGTGTCTCTGTGCGAGTCTGCGGGTCTATATGGGTGTCTGTGTGAGTTTGTGGGTGTCTCTGTGAGTCTGTGGATGTGTCAGTGTGTGGGTCTATATGGGTGTCTGTTGAGTCTGCGTGTCTCTGTGTGAGTCTGGGTGTCTTTGTGAGCCTTTCTGTGGGTCTGTGTGGGTCTATATGGGTGTATGTAAGTCTGTGGGTGTCTCTGTGAGTCTGTGGGTCTATATGGGTGTCTGTGAGTCTGTGGGTGTCTCTGTGAGTCTGTGGGTGTCTCTGTGCGAGTCTGTGGGTCTACATGGGTGTCTGAGTCTGTGGGTGTCTGTGAATCTGTTGGTGTCTGTGAATCTGTGTGAGTCTGTGGGTGTCTCTGTGCGAGTCTGTGGGTCTACATGGGTGTCTGTGTGAGTCTGTGGCTTCCTCTGTGCGAGTCTGGGTGTCTTCGTCTCCGTGCGAGTCTGTCTTTGTGACACCTATTGGGGGTCTCCCGTGCGAGTCCCAAGTGCCAGCGATGTTAACCGAGCACACCGCCGCCGGCTGCTCGCCCGAGCCCGAGTTGACTTACGTGGGGAGGCCCCAGGCACCGGTTCGGCCAATCGGTGTCCACCGGTGCCGGTGGTGGTGGCGGCCGTGAGCGGGAATCGAATTCGGTCCCTCCGCCGGGTTCGTTGGCGCCATCCCCGCTACGCTCACCTGGAGGTTTTAAGTGAGGGCTTAGTCGTTTAGTTCGAGGTGTAAGGGAGGTGGTGGGGGGGGGGGGGGTGGTGGTGGCCTAGCCAGCAGTGGTGTTTAATCGGCCCTCGATGCATAAACCCTGAACGTCCTCCTCATCCTGCCTCTTACCTCCCCCCCCCCCCCCTTCCCCGTTTGACGCAGCAGTGGAGAGAGACTACCCTACGGTATGCACGGTGGTAAGTGCGGAAGGAAAGGTGCGAGCGGTCGTTGTCGTTGATGCTGTGGTGGTTTGTCCACGTTCCCGTGACGGGACCAAGTGGATTGCGTCGGCCTAGGAGTTGGCGGCGGTGATTGTGTTGATGGAAGGGTTAGGGATTGTTCGTCATGGTTAGAAACATCGCGCCCATTGGTGACATCACTGGCAGCAGCATCGCCATCGCCGTCAATAGCGGCGTCATCACCACCGTAATAGCGGCACCATCAATGGTGGCATCGTCTGTAGCGGCACCATCAATACCACCATCGCCGTCAATAGCGGCACCGCCATCATCAATAGTGGTACCACCACCATCAGTAGAGGCACCATCATCGTCTATAGCGGCACCATCAATACCACCATCACCGTCAATAGCGGCACCGCCATCATCAATAGTGGTACCACCATCATCTATAGTGGCATCATCATCACCGTCAATAGCGGCACCATCATCACCGTCAATAGCGGCACCATCATCACCGTCAATAGCGGCACCATCATCGTCAATAGTGGCACCATCACCGTCAATAGCGGCACCATCATCTATAGTGGCACCATCATCACGGTCACCATCATCATCACGGTCACCATCACCGTCACGGTCACCATCATCACCGTCACGGTCACCATCATCACCGTCACGGTCACCATCATCACCGTCACGGTCACCATCATCACCGTCACCATCATCAACTCGCCGCCGTCACGCCTTACTCCGGCCCGCGGTCAACGCAAAACTCACGGTCGTCCTTTTGCTAGACCTGGCCCTGTCACGGCAATGTGGACTTTCCGCTCCCCCCCCCTCTGCCATGTTCGTGGGGGGGGTGGGGGGGGTCTTAGGTCCAACATCTTGAGACGGGGGACTCGGGATCTCGAGAACCGGGGGTATCGAGAACCGGGGTCTTCGGGATCTCGAGAACCGGGGGTCTCGAGAATCGGGGACTCGGGATCTCGAGAACCGGGGGTCTCGAGAACCGGGGACTCGGGATCTCGAGAACCGGGGGTATCGAGAACCGGGAACTCGGGATCTCGAGAACTGGGGACTCGGGATCTCGAGAACTGGGGACTCGGGATCTCGAGAACCGGGGGTATCGAGAACCGGGGTCTCGAGAACCGGGGACTCGGGATCTCGAGAACCGGGGGTCTCGAGAACCGGGGACTCGGGATCTCGAGAACGGGGGTCTCGAGAACCGGGGACTCGGGATCTCGAGAACCGGGGGTATCGAGAACCGGGAACTCGGGATCTCGAGAACTGGGGACTCGGGATCTCGAGAACTGGGGACTCGGGATCTCGAGAACCGGGGGTATCGAGAACCGGGGTCTCGAGAACCGGGGACTCGGGATCTCGAGAACCGGGGGTATCGAGAACCGGGAACTCGGGATCTCGAGAACTGGGGACTCGGGATCTCGAGAACCGGGGGTCTCGAGAACTGGGGACTCGGGATCTCGAGAACCGGGGGTCTCGAGAACCGGGAACTCGGGCTCTCGAGAACCGGGGGTCTCGAGAACCGGGGGTCTCGAGAACCGGGGACTCGGGATCTCGAGAACCGGGGATCTCGAGAACCGGGGGTATCGAGAACCGGGGACTCGGGATCTCGAGAACCGGGGGTCTCGAGAACCGGGGATCTCGAGAACCGGGGATCTCGAGAACCGGGGGTCTCGAGAACCGGGGGTCTCGAGATCTGGGGACTCGGGATCTCGAGAACCGGGGGTCTCGAGAACCGGGGGTCTCGAGAACCGGGGGTCTCGAGAACCGGGGGTCTCGAGAACCGGGGGTATCGAGAACCGAGGGTCTCGGGATCTCGAGAACCGAGGGTCTCGAGAGGGCGATACGGAGGGGCGTTGATGATGATGATGACGACGGTGATGATGACGATGATGATGACGATGATGGTGATGATGACGATGATGGTGATGATGGTTCTTAACCGGCGGGGGTGTAGGTAGGTGGGGGAGGGGGAGTTTTGGTCATCCTGAGAGCCGGTCTCAAGACTGTGATCATCCTGAGACTCGAGGTTCTGATCCTGAGATCCGGGTCTCAAGACGCTGGTCCTGAGATCCGGGTCTCAAGACTTTGGAACAAATTCGTCCGCGCGGTTTAAGTGCCAAGACCTTTTTTGGCGATGCCTCCGCGAATGACAATGATCACGGTCGCGTTTAACCCTCTGTTGGAATTTCGAACCGTCTTTGAGTAACATCCATCCCACCTTTACATTATGAGACCTCATTTGCCAGTAACAAGATATAGTAAATAGGTTTTACCCTTTGATTTAAAGCTTTCGTGACTGCAGTAATTCATATTCTAGTTTTTTCGGTAAAGTCACGTTGAAGAGAAACAACAAAATAACAAAATATATATAAAACAATAAAAATTCTCACGACGTTTCGACCATAACTCAAACGGTCATCATCAGGTGTGTCGGTTTGCATAAATTTATTTTGAAAACGGCATATTTATTTATATATATAAAAATAACGTTTGCGTCACGCGCAACGATGGCAGTTTGCCAGGACTAGTCCATCTATTTTTTGAAAAGAGGAGGGGGGAGACGAAATTTGTTTTTATGTATGCTGTCTGAAAGGCACTGTAAGCGTGAACAATCAATCAAGAACTGAAATGATTTATCAAATCTTTCCAATGATTGCTAAGATAGAATCCATCTTCTCGGTTGAAATTGTCTCTGTGTTTGTATATGTGGATAGCCTCATGAACGAATCTCTCATGGAAGCCAGATGGCTTACAAAGAACCTCCGTCTTGGAAAAGTCAATGGCATGTGAGCCTACTGAATTAGAACAATGATCTGCTACGGCCGAGGTGTTGGTCCTACCGTGTTTAAGGTCTGCTTTATGTTCACGAATGCGGTCCGAGATATGGCGTTTGGTTTCTCCAATGTAACTACTACCACAGAGGCAACTTAGTTTGTAGACACCAGGGTATTGTATGTCCGGAATCACATCTTTTACAGACGGAACCAGATCACGGATTTTATGTAATGTGTTGAAACGGACCTGGATCTTGTGTTTATTCAAGATTTTGGAGATCTTTTTTGTGATCCCAGCAATGTAGGGTAAAGTGATGGTTTTGAAAGGCTCCTCAAGAGGGTTCTTCTTCATGGTTTGAGTGATAGCTTTGCGGATTGTATAGTCGGAGTAACCATTAGCCCTAAGAGCTTGGTGTACGTGCTTGAGTTCACTGCTTATGTGTTCCTGGTCGGATATGCATTGGGCTCTATGATACAGAGAGTCTTGATGAGAATTCTTCTGTGATGGATGGTGGTGGGAATCCGGTTTCAGATAAGCATCCGTATGGGTAGCTTTCCTGTAGACAGAGTGGCTCATTGAACCATCAGGTCTCTTTTTAATTAGGACATCCAAAAAAGGTATCTTGCCATCTATTTCGACTTCCATGGTAAATCTGATGGCTGGGTGTATGGAATTGATGTGGTCGAAGAATTGGTCTAGAGCAGGCCGGCCATGTGGCCAGATGACAAAAGTGTCATCCACGTACCTCTTCCATAAGGTTGGGCGCAGAGTGGCAGTCTGGATGGCGTCAGTCTCAAATTTCTCCATGAAAATGTTAGCTATAACTGGAGAAAGGGGGGAGCCCATTGGGGTGCCCTCAGTTTGTTTGTAGAAAGTTCCATTCCAAGTGAAGTATGTATTGGTTAAACAGTGTCTCACCAGGGGGGGTACCTCAGTGTTTAGTCCTTGATGAACCAAGTCTTCAATGATTGCAATGGTGTCAGGTACAGGAACCTTGGTGAATAAGGAAACTACATCAAAACTGACAAGCAGGTCGTCTGGGGACAGGGAAATACCCTTGATTGTCGATACCAGGTGAGTAGAATTTTGTACCGCAGAGGTGGTCTTTCCAGTGAAAGGACGCAGGATTTCAGACAAAAAACGAGCTAGTTTGTAGGTGGGGGAGCTGATAGTAGAGACTATGGGACGAAATAAAGAGTAACCAACAGCCTCGTCACACAAACCAACAAAATAATTTCTGATTCAACCATTAATTGATCAATCTAAACAGTTTTCGTTGAAACCTTCTGCTGCCAGGCCACCAAGATTATACGGCTTACCAAAAATACATAAAGTTGATACACCTCTTCGTCCCATAGTCTCTACTATCAGCTCCCCCACCTACAAACTAGCTCGTTTTTTGTCTGAAATCCTGCGTCCTTTCACTGGAAAGACCACCTCTGCGGTACAAAATTCTACTCACCTGGTATCGACAATCAAGGGTATTTCCCTGTCCCCAGACGACCTGCTTGTCAGTTTTGATGTAGTTTCCTTATTCACCAAGGTTCCTGTACCTGACACCATTGCAATCATTGAAGACTTGGTTCATCAAGGACTAAACACTGAGGTACCCCCCCTGGTGAGACACTGTTTAACCAATACATACTTCACTTGGAATGGAACTTTCTACAAACAAACTGAGGGCACCCCAATGGGCTCCCCCCTTTCTCCAGTTATAGCTAACATTTTCATGGAGAAATTTGAGACTGACGCCATCCAGACTGCCACTCTGCGCCCAACCTTATGGAAGAGGTACGTGGATGACACTTTTGTCATCTGGCCACATGGCCGGCCTGCTCTAGACAATTCTTCGACCACATCAATTCCATACACCCAGCCATCAGATTTACCATGGAAGTCGAAATAGATGGCAAGATACCTTTTTTGGATGTCCTAATTAAAAAGAGACCTGATGGTTCAATGAGCCACTCTGTCTACAGGAAAGCTACCCATACGGATGCTTATCTGAAACCGGATTCCCACCACCATCCATCACAGAAGAATTCTCTCATCAAGACTCTGTATCATAGAGCCCAATGCATATCCGACCAGGAACACATAAGCAGTGAACTCAAGCACGTACACCAAGCTCTTAGGGCTAATGGTTACTCCGACTATACAATCCGCAAAGCTATCACTCAAACCATGAAGAAGAACCCTCTTGAGGAGCCTTTCAA